TGCTGGTACTGATGTATCCATCTCTGCAATGTGCTTAATTGCAGGGGGCACTACAGGTAGTCGCTGACGATGTGGAATGGCGCGCTCGGCGCAGCGGATGATGATGATGGGTTATCCAGTGTCCTTGTCCTTGGTACTCTTGTTCTGCTTGGTATGGGCTCAAGGGCTTGCTGCGACTATCGGTCTGGCTGAAGGGCACGACGACAGGTCTCCCAAGGGTGGGGAGAGAGCGACGTCGAGGAGCCGGGATCGGGATGGCTGCGGCAAGCAGGCTGCGGATGATGGATCATCGCAGTTTTCTCATAATGACAATGGGTATGCAGAAAGGGCACGGGAGGAATTCTCAGAGGAACTTCTCTTACGTCCGTTGGTTGATGGGAAGGTGCTTGCACACTTCCTGTTCACTCATAAATTGCCACGTGGCAACAACCATCATCATCGCATCTTTCCCAAAGCGATGGATCAACTGGTAAGCCGCTTCTTTTTTTTTTTTTTGCCTTTTTTGGTAAGACTAACTCTTTTAAAAGCCCGACCCAAAAAAAAAGAAAAAAAAAAAAAAGAAAGCCCGACCAATTTTGGGTAAAGGGCGTATATGGAGCGGAGGCTTATCTCTACTCTGCGTACGTCGTAGTGCAATTGCAATTGCAATTGCAATTGCCATTGCAAATGGGTGGGGTCCAGCTGGGGAGACAGGTTGAGTTGGAATGGGTTGGATTGAGATTGGATTGGGATTAGATTGAGATTAGGATTGGATGTGATTGGATTTAGATTGGATTGGATGGGATTTGATTGGATGCGACGGGATATTATGTTATGAAGAACAAATAAACTAAAACAACTTGTGCCTCACGGTCTCATCGAAATTCTTTACCAAAAAAAAATAAAAATAAAAATAAATATATATATATCTGTTTGTGACGATATATATACCTTCCTTCCTTCCTTGTTTTGCCTTTTTCCGCCTTCCTGACTTTTTTTCTTTCCCTTCCTTGTTCTGCTTTCCCTTCCTTGTTTTGCTTTTTTCAGCCTTTGCGCTCCGATTCACAGTGTGACAACGCCTTTGCGCTCCGATTCACAGTGTGACAATATATTGTCACACTGTGAATCGGAGCGCAAAGGCGGAAAAAAGCAAAACAAGGAAAGGAAAAGAACGAAACAGTTTGTCACAGCCCCTCGGTTGTTGTCCTCTTCTCCCTCCCTCTCTGCCCCTACGGTTTACCGGGCAGCTCTGTTTGGCTATATATTATTATATTATTATGGTTATTATTATTGTTATTATTATTTTTTAATTCTTTTTGGCCCGGCCGGGCAACGGGCCACTCTGGTAGCCTATTCCAGGTCAAGATTGGGATCAGGTTGGATTGGATCTGATTGGGTTGAATTTAGATCTGATTGGATCGAATTTAGATCTGATCGGATTGTATTTAAACCTGATTGGATTGGTTTTGGATCTGATCGGATTGTATTTAAACCTGATTGGATTGGTTTTGGATCTGATTGGATTGGTTTTGGATCTGATTGGATTGAGTTTAGATCTGGCTGGTTTGGGTTTAGATCGGGGTGGATTTTGGTTTGCATCTGTGTGGATTGGGTTTAGATCCGGTTGGCTTGGTTTTATTTCTGATTGGATTGGATTGGATTGGATTGGATTGGATTGGGTTGGTACAAATTAATGTGCAGGAGCGGAACTGAAGCAGATTGAATTGGACTGTTTGGACTGGGTTTTATCAAATTGCCTTGCTCGTATTGGGTTCTTCCCCCCTAACCCTCCCCCGACCCTCCCCTGACTCTCCCCTCCCCCTTCCCTGCCCCCCCCTTTCCCCAGTTAAAACCCTGTTCCAAAATTTTCTTGAGTTGTACTAGCCAAATTGGTCAGTTACTTTTTGCCATGGGATAACCGTTCGATCCCATCTGCGGAGTTATTTATATTAATTGGAATAAAGGATTTTGTATTCCTTGGCTTGGGTGGGGGGAGGGGGTTGAGAGGAGGGTTCGTGGGACTTGGGTGAATTTGCGGAGTTGGCTTGGAATTTATTCTCTCTGTTTTGTCGCCCTCCGGGGGACCGTCGGTGATGGGGTTGTGTGAAAGGGAAAAAAGGGTGGCTTTCGCAGATCATCGCGGTATGCATGAATGTGATCTTTTTTTTTTTTCCTCTTTTCTTTAATCTTATCCTTTTTTTTTGTTTGTTTAACAACCCACGCACACATGGGTGCAGGTGTGGATGTATATATTATAGATATATGACTGAACGTGGTCTCATAAGAAATTGATTGGAGGGTGGGACGTAACAGCTTGTTCTGTTCTGTTTACGTGTCCGTAATCAAATCTGGACCGTTCTGGCTGTAAGTGGTGATTCTGAGAAGAAAAGTTGATTTTCATTTTTGGTCTCTAAAAATTACAAAATTACTGAAATTAGTAAATTATTACCAAAAATGTATGTCTGAAAACAAGATCACCTTTGCTGTCCATTGAACCTTGTGAGGGAAAAAAAAAAAACCCTATGTTAAGTCTGCTGGAGCTTGAGGTAAGCCAGGTAAGGTAAGGTGAGGTGAGAAGGGTCAACGCAGAGCCTCAAAGGCAGAGCAGAGCCTTCAAGGCAGAGGAGAGCCTGCAAGGCAGAGTAGAGCCTGCAAGGCAGAGTAGAGCCTGCAAGGCAGAGTAGAGCCTGCAAGGCAGAGCCCAGCCTGCGAGAGGCAGAGCAGAGCTTGCGAAGCGGATCGAGTGAGCAGAAGGGAGAAAGTTGCCGTCTTCACCCGAATAGAACGCCTGGTCATTATAGCCGTATTTGGGGCAACTTTCAGTCCAGATGCGGCCATAATGACCGGGCGTTCTATTCAGGTGAAGACAGGAGACGCCAGTAAATGCGTGGAAGAAGGGAAAACGCTAAGAGTGTGTCAATGGGTGAGCAGCAGGAAGGAAGCAAGTCGTGCGGCCTCGCCACACGACTGTCCAAACGAAAAGAGTACGTGTGCATCTTCCCGCAGAGAGTGGCAACATGCATCCGTTTCTATGAATAGCACCGGATGCACCAACCATTTTCTGGAGAAGATGCATTTGTTTTTTTTCTTTTTGACAGTGGTGTGGCCACTCCCATGATCTATAACCTGTGGGTATAGGCACAGGAAGAGAGGCAGAGCCTTCCAATGAATACGCAGAACGGAAGACGAACATTAGAGCGCATGAAATCACCACCACCCACCTCTTGAAAAGGCAGGCCAATCCGCCTACAGAGAGAAAAAGAAACCTTTTGCTGGCCCTGCTAGGCTGCCCGATCATCGATGCACTGGACGCACTGATCGCACTGGACGAAGCGAAAAAGGACTGGACTTGTGGTACTTGCGGTACTTGCCGTAACGATTGGATCGTGGGGTTCCAATGGTAATAAGGGGTACGAGTGGGGTAGTGGGTTCAGCAATCAGAAGAAAGCGAACTAGAGCCCACCGGCTTGGACGAATCGAAAAAGGACTGGACTTGGCGCGGCGGTTGGATCGTGGGGGTCCAATGGTAATAAGGGGTACGAGTGGGGTGGTGGGTTCAGCAAGCAGAAGAAAGCAAGCTAGAGCCTACCGTATTGGACGAATCGAAAAAGGACTGGACTTGCCGTAATGATTAGATCGTGGGGTTCCAATGGTAATAAGGGGTACGAGTGGTGTGGTGGGTTCAGCAAGCAGAAGAAAGCAAGCTAGAGCCTACCGTCGTCACCCGAGTAGAAGGCCTGGTCATTATACCTGTATTTGGGGCAACCTTCAGGCCAGATGCAGCAATAATGACAGGGCGTTTTATTCGGGTGAAGCGCTGTGGAGTTCCCGTACAACAGGGCTCGTCCGACTATTGCTTCAATCAGGGCTGAGCTGGGTTTGCCCTGCTTGACCCTGGTTTTCTACAACCACTGTCTGGTCAGGTCACTCATGTCAAGATGATAATAGGAGGGTGATAATCCTGAGTTATAAACACTGAGGTAGGATTGTGGGAGTAGGGGTGTGCCAGGGAGAAATAACAAGAGTGGAAGGTCGGGAGGGAGTCTCATAAGGAATAGGGATCTCTACACACCGTCTGGGTAACCGAATGTCCGGCCGACTACTGAGGGTAACTGTCATACGTCTAGCGTCCAACCCCTACAACAACCAGTAGCGGTAGGCTAGAGGTAGGCCGGTACCCATCCGAGTAGCCTGAGTCTAGGGCCTGTACGAACGATATCAGAGGCTGCAATGATGTTTCCCTCCGAAAGGGAGGAGGTACCGATCGCTGGGAGGCCGCGGGGCCTAGGAAGTCACCCCCCAAGAGGCAAGTAGGCCGCCATATCTTCGGGAGGAGCAAGTAGCTCCTCCTCACTTGCGGTGTGGAAGGATTGGCGACATACTGCTGCTGGAGCCAAGCGCTGGACTTTGGAGCGCTGCCTGGAGGAAGGAGAGCAGCTGGGCCCTCAGCCTGGCTATGGCAAGCAGCCCAGCCTGATGAGGAGGAAGAAGGGAGCAAAGGAGGAGAGTGGCGAGGTACCTACCTGGTTATGGTGGACACCATCTTCATCACCTTGATAGGCGCTGCATCTGGAAGGCCCCAGTTGGGGTAGTGCCGCACCAAGGAAGCTCGAGGCAGAGTCAGGCATCGTGGCCTGATGAGCAGCGACATAGCTGCTTAGCACAAGAGGGAAGAGCCCCTAGTAGTCCGCCATAGCCTTGGCATGTGAGAGGAAGAAGAAGGGGGAAGCCATGGCTATGGTGGACCTATTGTTGTGCTGCCAGTAAGAGAGAACTCTGGATATTTATTCTGGTTTATCCACTCATTGTTATTATTATTATTATTATTATTATTATTCCGAAGAAGAATAAGATTGGCGAAGTCAAGGAGGAGGAGGAAGGTGGAGAGAGAAAGGGAGATTTCTCATTGGTCTTGCTGGTGTACTTCTTCTTCTTCTTCTTCTTCTTCTTCTTCTTCTTCTTTCTCTCTTCTTTGGTCTCCATCTCTTTGCAAGTGCTTTCATTTCTTTCGCAATTGGGTGGCATTGTCTTTCATTGTGAATTTGCCCTTTGGGGATGACCAGGATCGTAACAAATATATCATTCTGAATTCCCGAGGGCCGGTCAGTTCAATGATGATATCTCAAGGCCGTCGCCCTTTAAAGTTACGAAAGAAAAAAAGAAAAAAGAAAAAAAGGGAAGACAGCCTTAGACAGGTAGAGATGGCCAATGAACAGAGGGAATGAAAGAAAGATAGAGCCTGCTTGTCTGTCAACAAATGTGTAACAGGGGGGATGAATGAAAGGAAGATAGAGCCTGCCTGCCTGTATGTATGTTAAATGAAGTAACAGGGAAGAAAAGGAGAGAGCATGCCAATGAGCAAAGGAAAGCTATATAGAGAGGGAGTCTCTGTAAAAAGAGCAGAAGGAAAAATGGGGGGGAGCGCATCGTCAACGAACGGCTTTACTGTTTCTTCTTTTTCTAATTGTCGTTATTGCTTCTTCGGAGTTGGGAAGTGCAGGTGCGTAAGTTTTCGGTGAGGGAAATGGATCTATCCTTCACCCAAGGGAGGTGGGACTACGGAAGATGGGGCTCCGTGGGAAGTGTGACGGCCGCGGCTGCACGACCTAAGGGACTGGCTCTCTGGGCATGGATGTCAACACCTGCTCCAGAGGCAAGGCATCTAAAGATTCTAAACCCTCCCTTTTTTCCCTTCCCCCCCCCTAAACCCTCCCTTTCCCCCCCCCTAAACCCTCCCTTCCCCCCCCCCCCTAAAACCCTCCCTTTTTACTACTTGAAGGCCACCCTCCCTTCTTTAAAAATTGATGGCCACCCTCCCTTTTCATGAATTGAAGGCCCCACCCTCCCTTTTCTTATTAATTGAAGGCCCGACCCTCCCTTTTCATTAATTGAAGGCCCCACCCTCCCTTTTTAATTGAAGGCCCCACCCTCCCTTTTTATTAATTGAAGGGCGCCCTCCCTTTTTTTATTAATTGAAGGCCACTTGTGAACAAACCTCTCTGTGTGAATTTTTGGCTCGGCGTTTGGTTTTGGTCGGAATTATGTTGGTGTCAATGGGGGTACCGTAAAATGAGCAACCTGGCTTTACCCCCCCTCCCCCACCCTTTTTTTGTGGGCTAGCTTACAGCATTTGTCTGCTGTTGACCATAGGGAGGTTCATCTTTTTTTTTTTTTTTTTCCCTCTGCCCAAAAAGGGGAGTGAACAGAATGAAACAAGAAATTCATCATTGAGGTGACATTAGTTCTATTATTTTGTAAGACTACTTGGGCTTCCCGGGCGTACAGACCGGGCCAGGCATCCGGGCCAGCCGCCCGGGGGGTCTGATGAAAGGGGTAATGCAAGGAAAATGAGCGATAGCGAAATGACAGAAATCCAGAATGCAAAATCACATTGAAAGCCAGAAAGTCCAACGCTGTCCAGAAAGCAGAAATGCACTGATATTACACCAATGGAGAACCAAAGCACCATATCCGAATGTCAATGAGAGCTTATTCTTGCCATCAGCAACATAAGTATCCAGGCCCTTTCCCTTACTTGGCGCTCAGCGACCAGACTACGATCACACAGCTACTACCAGCCTACGAATTGACAATGCATCCTGTTGACGTCAACAGCAACAACCGAAGTACATGAAGATGTCGACCCTGTAGACCGTCGCCAAGACCAGGTATGTGCCCTCACATCATCATCCTCATTTCTCTCTCTCTCTCCCTCGTCTTGTCTATCCATGTCTTCCTCCTCATACACGAAGACACCTCCACTGGCTATCCAAGCCAAGCCCTGGCTATGTAGGGCTGGCTATGGCGCTGCCCTCAGCAGCGCCCTGCCTTTTTCCAGCACCCGCGCACGCTAGTGCACAGCCAGCAAGCGCACGCTCAAGCAGCGCTGCCGCATGCACTGCCTACTGCCCGAATGAGCCCCCCAGTGGCGAGCTCTTTCCATAAAGGAAAGAGCTCGCCCAGTTCGCTGTCTGGCTGGGCCTTGTGCGTTTCCAGTAGCTTCCGTTTGGGCCAAAGTGTCTGCGCCCAGGCCCATTCAGACAGTGACCTGGGATCGAATTGGTTAGGCCTGCCCAACCACCCAGGAGTAAACGTGAGGTTCTCCCTGCTTCGTCTGTGCTGCTGGAAGAGCCCAGAAGGCTCACGATTTATTTCTGATTCGTGATGTAACCAACTGGCAGTGGCAACAGTTTGGCGCCCACCAAACTCTGCCAAAATTGACGAACTCAAGTCATATTGAAATTCAGGGGCCCACCTTCACTTTGGGCCCGCTCATGCTTGCTGAAAGGGCCCTACAGGGGCATGCTGAGGAGCTAACTCATAGCAAGGCCTCGTCGAAGATCCATGCCCACATAGGGGTTCCAACAGGCTCTGCTTGGGCCCCTCAGCCTGGTCTCATAGGCCTATAAACAGGCATTGGCACATATTTGCAGGCCCGCTGTTACATGCTGTACAGGCCCCAACCTGTTTCCCTACAGGGAAACTTCCAGGCTCTTGCCTGGAAGCTTCCTTCTGACAGGGCCTACAGGCCCCAGCCTAATTCCCTACAGGGAAACTTCCAGGCTCTTGCCTGGAAGCTTCCTTCTGACAGGGCCTACAGGCCCCAGCCTGTTTCCCTACAGGGAAACTTCCAGGCTCTTGCCTGGAAGCTTCCTTCTGACAGGGCCTACAGGCCCCAGCCTGTTTCCCT